ATTTTACATCATTTTAGTTATTATAAAAGTTTTGCATTAATTTATTTTTATAATTTCAATGGTTTTAATACACGAGACCAACAAATGGGACACATTTATTAGATATCGCGCTCTATTCAAAAATAATTGTATTTATTTTTAAACACAATTCAATAGCAAACTTATGCCCAACTGTTTTGAGGCCACACATTGACCGCACCCGACATCACATCCCAACCCATCCATCACTTCGCATAGATTTATCAAATATATGGTCCGAAAACTCTCAGCTCTCGACAGATATATTGGTCGCCAACACATGTCTAGCGGTCGTCCCAACGGAAGCGCTGCCAATGAGGTGACGAGATGTCCCATATGTCTGTCCGATGTGACCGACCGGTCGTTGACCGACCCATGTCTTCACCAGTTCTGCTACAACTGTATTCGTAGTGTCACTCAAACGACAAGTCAGTGTCCGATATGTCGCCAACACTTCGACGGTATTATCCATAATATAGCGTCCGATAGAGTCTACGACCGAACGGCTGTTCAGCGCATCGATGATGACATTGATGGCCAAGACTTGGAGGAAGACGACTACAGTGAAGATGAAGTGGAAGACAATACTGATGGCCAGGACTTGGAAGAAGACAACGACAATGAAGATGAAGTGGAAGTGGACGCTGACATCTCATCGGACCAGTCATCAGACGATTTGGATGATAATGAAGACAATGACACACAAAGTGATGACAGCGAAGACATGATTGAGGAGGAAGAAGAAGAAGCGGATCCAATGGAAGCAATGCATGAAGAAATGGCGGCACATATGGAGGAATTTCATGAAGAAATGCAAAGATTTGGTGAAGAAATGCAAAGATTTGGTGAAGAAATGCAAAGAATGGCAGAAGAGATGGCAGAAGAAGATAACGATTCAGAAGAATCTGATTCCTCGTCTGATTAAATATTTAATTAACAAATGAATGAATTATATGTTTATAAAACCAATTATTTTCAATTTAGTGACAAAAGTTTGTAAACAAAATTTATAAAACAATAAAATAAATGTTTATTATACGGTATTTTCAAAGCATATTAATCTATAAATGTGTAAATTTAATAATATATGCGTAAAAATAATCAGTTAACAGATCTAAAGTTACAATAACTGAGACAACTTTTGTCGAAAATAGTTACTAAATGTATTGTGAAAGTTATTAACAAAATTGTGTATTAAATTAATTGTCAAAAATACAATTTCAGGGTTATTTCGATGTTTACCGCAAAGTATTAAATCATTAAAACTGATCGCAGCTATCATTGACCAGAATTGGCACAAAAAATGATTAAAACCAATGCTAAACATTTGGATTATTTACATAAAGAATTTGATACAAGTGTCAAGAAATAGCATTTTGTAATTTATTTTTTAAATAAATATGAAATTGTAAAATCTATTAAAAATTTATATTATGGATTATTTATTTAAAAAAAATACAAACATCTAATTAATAAATTTTAAACATAATGTTAGAGTTTTCTGTTGTAAAACATTATACAAAAGAGTTTTTCATTGCAAAAATTTCAAATACTGACAAAAATAATACAAATTTTTATTAAAAATCTAATTGAATTATTCTATCGTTAATGTTATAATTCTTAACCATTTCTACACCATTGATTTGTATAGCATTTTGCTATTTATTTTCAAATAAACAAAAAATGATAAAATATTACATTGTTTTTGAGATTATTTATTCAGAAATCTATTTAAAAAATTAATACAAAAATAAAATGATATAAACGTTTCAAACATTACGAGCAAATGTTTAATAAAAATTTAAATAATAATATAAATCAATAACTAATTGGTTTCAATACAAAACCCGGTATTTAAAAATACGTTAACAATTATTTTTAAATATTACATAAATTATATAAACAGTGATTCAAAATGAATGTAAATAAAGATAATAAAAGTAATCCAAAACTTAAGACAGTTGTCCTCAACAATGATTTGGTACAACAGATCTTCTCATACATCGAGATCCATGAGTTGTTACCTCTGGAGAGAGTCTCAAATCAGTTCCAGTTTTGGATTACTTTTATTATCTTTATTTACATTCATTTTGAATCACTGTTTATATAATTTATGTAATATTTAAAAATAATTGTTAACGTATTTTTATGTTATAAACGTTATAAATATAAAGCGAATCCAATTGTTTAGCATTGCTTTCAAGCAATGTTTTGCGCCAACTATTGGTTCCGCAAACAGAAGAGCATTGCTTTCAACACTACTTTTACTGTTGATCACTACAAGCCTAGCGATGATATGATTCCCAATTCATATGTATTTCCCAATCGATATCTTGAGACCCATTCGGACGGAAAGCCATGTCTTATAGCAAACAAACAAAGGATTATTTGGTTATCAAATAAGTTAGCAAACATTGAGTATTTGGCGATCAGTCACTTCGACATTAATTTTCAGACTCTTTGGGATATACTTTCTGCCATACAATCGGTTAACTTTGTGGTCATATCGTGTGTCACTAACTTTAATGGACAACAATTGGCACAATTGGGACGACTATTAACGAGAAATGTAACCAAATTTTCCACAAATATGACCGACGAAACGGCGGATGATATGTTTGCATCGATCCCAGAGTTAACCGGATTAACATATCTATGCGTTCGCCTCAACGATGACAACACCGCTAAAGATATATTCAAATATTTGCCCCAAACTATCAAAACATTGCAACTTTTATCCCACGAAGTGATCGATACAGAAATGGCGCAAACATTGCTTGAAAGCAATGCTAAACAATTGGATTCGCTTTATATTTATAACGTTTATAACAAAGCCTTGGAAGTGATCGTCGATGGCATGGCTTTGGAGGCGCTTTCATACCGATTGCAGGATCCGTCACATGAGTGGCAATGTCTGCAACGGGTGGCCAACAAACAGATAGATCTTCAATACCTGCGTCTCGAGTGTCAGTGTTTTGGCGATTACTCTAAGACTGGGAAAGTGTTTTCAAACGTCAAAACACTTTATCTCTATGAATGTCGTCCAAAAGCCGAAGCGTTTGAGTCATTCATTAAATGCTTTCCAGCGCTTAAAACTCTGGTCTTAAACAAGACATTCATTGAATGCGATTTTAATGATGAAAATTGTTTGACATGTATCGGTCAAACGTACGCTTTGATCGCAAGACATACAATGATTAGACAATTGGCTCTTTATTACATGGATTTGAGTGAAATGACAGCCGTTTGGTGTAAACAATTCATTGATTTTCACAATTTATCGGCCATTCATTTGAATTTTTATTGCACTTCTAATACCGAAGAATACGCTATATTTTGCCATCAATTCATCACTGATTTCATGAATTGGTATTCAATAGACTCAAAGAAATGGTTCACAATATGTGTTCACAAAGATATCGCTCAAGACTTTTGTGTCGGACTTCAAATACCAAGAAATTTAAGAATTCGTAGAAATTTATATTAAAAATACAAATAATTTCAAAATCAAATCAGTAATAAAGATATTATTTTAAAATATATAAAATGTAAATAAAAAATGTATTGTATGCCTTATACCCGGTATAAAATACACATATTCTAATTTATTGTATTAATTTAGGCTTTGTTAATTTGAACTTATTCAAACATTTTTTAAATAATGGCATAGTAGTTTATAAATGAACCTATTTCTATTGTGATTATTCAAATATTTCATTAAATAGTGGCCCATAATTGTGTAATGTATTGCTTTTAATATCCATTCTCTCGATATCTCCTAAAATTTTCAATTCTCCCAATAATAACATCAGATTCTGTACTCTTGTCTGTGATTCCGATTCCGACCGGTATTTCAATAGTAGATATCTTTGCAGTAAATATATATACAGTTGTCGTTCGAGTCTAACAAACAATTAAATTAATTTTATTATTTTAAATAAAGGCATTTATTTAATTAAAAAATCGCTTACTTTATAGCATTTACATGCTTTAGGTTTGATGTGTTTGGGTTGAGAAGTATAATTGCTGTTAACTAGATGTATAACATGGTTTAAATAATTCATAACTATCAAGAGCGATTAATTATTTACCAGTTCCATAATAATAGGATCCCTTTCCCAAACAGTTATCGCCATTTCATTAAATTGTTTCCCAATATTATATAATTTTTTATTTGCAACTTCTTTTAGCCGCAATCGGATTGAGTTCTTACAATCCTATCAATAAATTAAGTAAAATTAACTATTGATTAACGAGAGAGAGAGAGAGAATGGATATTAAAAGCAATACATTACACAATTATGGGCCACTATTTAATGAAATATTTGAATAATCACAATAGAAATAGGTTCATTTATAAACTACTATGCCATTATTTAAAAAGAGAGAGAGAGAGAGAGAGAGAGAGAGAGAATGACATACAATGGGAATAATATAAGATTCAGTTTTAATGTCATAATCAGATATTCTTCTAAAGAGACTTAAATCCAAGTATTGACTCTTCGTTAGCAAAAGCTGATCGCTTTGACAGATATTTCTGAATGATTTCAAACATTTGATAAAAGTTACATAATTTTTAATTTCATTTTCAGCCCAATTAACTGTCATTTTCATCAAATAATGTCTATCCGTCATTTCAATGATATTATTATTAATAAATTTATTATTTATAGCTTTGGATGCGTTGAACAGCTCTGATATACGGTTGGACTCCAATTGATTTAAACCGTTATAATCGGTGAGCTTTTTGAATATGGGAACCACTGGTAATGGCATTAGTTGCTGTGTTGTATTCACTTGTAAAATGTTATTTTCATTAAAATTATTTGTTATAATAATATCGTCAAAATTTAAATCCAGAATTTGTTCATTTATTTTACATGTGTTTTCATGTGAGTTGTCTTTTAATAGTATTTCATCAAAACTATTATTATCTGAAAACTCATTAATAGAGCTATCATTTAATTTTTGATTACTATTTTGATGAATATTTTGTTTGTTTTCAAATTGTTTTGTATTTTTAGTTTTATATGCAGTTTTGATTAACTCCTAAAAATACAATAAAAAATTAACAAATGAATAGCAAAAATACAAATACAAAAATTTGATACTTTTCTCATTCCGGCGTCAAAACACTTTTTAAGTCTACATTTTTGACACGACTTTCTCGTATCGGCCGTTATATTACATCTGCCATCAGATGGACATTCAAATAACTATTTGTATACATTTGAGATAAAAATGAATGTGGTTCAATTTGTTAATAATATCGACAGTATGTGTCAGTATAAGAGTTATAATTAATAATTATAATTATGATTTATAACCTGTTTTACATTTGCAGTTCTCCTAAAAAATGATTTACACGAATCGCAAGTAATTGCACCGAAATGTCGGCCTAAATATCACATTAAATGCTAATTAAATATTGATTTTAATAAATTAATAATTTTCATACCAATAGATTTAGTTCCGCTACAAATGATACAATTTTTACTATTATTGTAATCCATTTTTATTAATATGTGACACAATTATTAATAATTGTAATTTTGCACAAATTGTTTAAATGTTTATTAGAACATAATAAAATAATCTTATCTAGGATAATTGTGTTTTCACATCACGTATAATAAAGTAATAATACTTTACTTTATAATACTTTACTTTGTTTAGTTGTCATAAAAATTTCAATTTAGAAGTAATTATTAATTATTATTAATAGTAATGTTATAAAATTTTTACTTTACTTAACTAGATTAGTATTTAATTATAATTTACTAAATAATGAAACATGTAAATTACAAGATATACAATGTTTTTATAACAAAAATTGAATGCATACATTTATTTACAAAATATAAACAATTTATATAAATTGGCTAACTATGTCAGTTTATTTAATTGTTATCAGTGACCTTGGTGAGTTCTTAATGGCATATTGCTAAACTTACTATAATAATATTCTAGTGCTTTGTATAAATAACGTTTACATTTTATATAACAATTACAAAGAATATTTATATACATGTAAAGTAATAATTTTTAAATGTCATTAAAATTAAATGTACTTTGTTATTAATAATAAATAAAGTAATATTATTTTCTAAATAAAATATCCTGGGTAATTACAGTAAGTTAAAAATCTTTGCAGTCTTTGTTTAAAATTTTACACAAATTCACACACTTTTTGCGCTCTTTGTAACCGTATTTTCGCCGCAATTCACCCATTATTTCCAATTCATTCATATTTGCCATCAGTTTAGCGAACCTTTCCTGCGATTCTGTCTCTGAACCGCATTTTATTAGTAAATACCGTTGAAGTAAATACATGTATATATACTGTTGAAATCTATGCATACAAATAATAAGTTTTTCATAACAAGCATAACATAAGCTTTATTAATAAATTATAGTAATAATTATTAAAATGAAAGATCTATGAAATAATAATTAATTTAATTTTTTACTTACTTAACAATTTCTTTGCGGTAGAGTTTAGGCCGATTGGGATTGAAAAATGCGATTGCAGTCAGCTATAACCAAATAAAATCATCATGTTCAATTCATTGTTGAATACATAATATTAAATAGCTTTAGATTAATAGATTATTTAAATCTAATCTACGTACCAAATCCAACACCACATGATCCCTATCCCATTCAGTGTCCAATGTGTCATAGAATGCCTTCAATCTGTGATAGTATTCGCCCCGGATTTCAAACACCTTCAACGGCATTATGATCGCCGTTTGATGATGCTAATTATGACCATGGTCAATACTCATTAATATTATTCAATGGCAACTATACGCATGCAAACTGTGACTTACGGTATTGACTGTCCAATACTGTTGTTCAAAATTATAGTAAAACAACGATCTCATTGTTCGCACATCAGAGTAGCCGTACTTAACCAGATATTTCCTGTCGTCTCCGTATAACTCTTGACATGAGCTTAAATTTTTAGCAAAATGAATGGTTGTCTTAATACTATTGATTAAGAAGTTGGGCATAAAGGGTGACAATTGGGAGATGTCGGTGATCTCGGTCTTAATCCATGGATAGAGAGGTCCGGTGACAAAGATGTTGGTCGCTGTGAACAGTTCCAGCAGTCGGTTCAGCTCTAAGTCGTTAAACACTTTGAATTCAATCATGTGTTGAAATATGGGAAACACTGTCCGCACCGCCAATGACGTGACGGATCCGTTGCTGTTGTCGTACTCGTTGTCGATCAGTATGTCTTCAATCTCTTTGGTTTGTGAGTTGAGATCATCGCTGGAAACGCTTGTGTTTAGTATCTCTGATAAGACATTGTTTTCATCACTTAATCCCGATTTGTTG